AAAAGTATACTAAATACACCATCATTATTCCTACTAACACCAATTGGTATGAGTAGCAACGAGTTTGATTCTTCTTAGACATGGTCTTAAGTTTAAGTTTTGTAAACAGAGAAAACAGGTGGGTGGTAGGAGACCATTTTATCATCCTAAACAGGTGTATCACTTTGACCCAGACACTGATGGAGCCCAAAATGAATTTTAGAGACCAAGGGTCTTAAACCCAAAATATATGTACTGTCATTATTTCTTCTAAATAGATTATAAATCTCAGATTTACAACAAACTCAGACTTTGTTATTTACTAACATAAGATTTGCAGCCACACATTGCTTGGCAATTCCTACAATTTTTCAGGAAGAAAAAAGCTTCACTTTTTTGGGGGTGCTAGTGTAGGTAGATCCTCAGCAGTTTACAACTTTAAAATGTTACATTGCCCTCTCCCTTCAATCAGACTCAGAAACTCCTACTATAACTTCCCTAAAGTTCAATGCAAACTTTAAAAGCAGTCTTCAAGACATCAATGCATATAAATAGGACCACAAAGGCAATGCATGGTTTTTGAATAAATGCAGCCCTATTTTGAAGACAATGATGGCATAGCATTAGTAATGCAAAAGGAGAACCATCATCCTAAAAGCCAGACTGTTTAGAGAGGAAAGTCAATACATTAAATGGGAGTTCAGTTTCTTCCACAAAGCCAAAGTAATACTTGTGATACTAAGCCAATTGTGTTGTGTTGGAATGAACAGCCCGCCGACAGCAAGGAGAGAACAACATACCAGACATCATTATCAATTTCAAGTAGAGGTGAGAGCACTAAAGTATATGGAACAAAAGGATGAGGCGGAAGAGGGAAGGAAGAAGAGACTTACTGCATGCCCAAAGACATTATTATCAACCTCCATGTGGGACCTACTGGGTGTTTCAGCACTTAAGATGGCAGGTAAAACATCAGGTTCTCTCACTAAGTAAATAGTATTCACTACTCCATAGTTCCCAGTTGCGAATGGCTGCTGCTCATCATGCCGCCATTCACCATCCACGTTAAATTTGTACTGCACATAATTGGGAAACAATATTGTTCTTGTCAGTATGGCTTCCGTGAATATCAGATTCAGATACTATGCCAACCGGCGGATGGAATTATACATAACAACATGACATAAGTGAGAGCATGGGATAATACAAAGATAAATAAAATGTCAAAGACTGTTTACTTATTAATGCAGAAGAAATGATGGAACATCTTATCAAAAGTTAATATAATTATCTCTAGACGTGTCAAAATGTAAGCATATAAGTTCTATCCTAATCAATGTTTGTTACATGATAATCAATGTATAACCCAACCTGCCAAATGTCCTAAATATATCAAGCAAAAAAAATAGATCTTATGCAATAAGGAGATCAGTTCCCAAGAAAAGATAGGGCACAACCAAACAAATGTGTATATAACAAAATTGCTCCTCTAAATGCAGGAATAGGAGTAAGGCGGGATTATATGTGTTGTAACTTGTACATTGTTTTGATGGATGAATTAAAGCAAGTAGACAAATTATAAGGGCTTTAAGTTTTAAATTTTACAAATAGGAACAATGTACAAGCCAAAATGAGATTATGTAAAATTTTATTGGGTGGCAAGCTCCAGCAACATGGCGTTTTTCAAGTTCATATAAAAAGGTGTCAATGGAGGACAGTCTGATTGCTACTCTAGGTTATAATATACCTAATAAATACATGACGGATAGAGTAGTTGCTAAACTAACTGTCTTGTACATGTAGAAAGTAGTCTAGCCAAACAAGGCCTTAACTTTGTAACTGACTGCTGAGGAGCCAGCACAACCCTAGCTAGGTATAAATACTCGTTCAATTGAGTAATGTATTATGTAACTAACTAATTCATTTGAGAAATATCAAAACAGAAATGGAACCTACACTCTCTTTTTCTTTTTCAGTTTTCTGCAATCTTAAAGTTTCTATTATGGTATCACGAGCCTAAATTTGTTTCCCAACCATGACCTCCAAAGGTGATTCCAACCAAACTATCAGAAACCCAATTCCTGCTTCTACAATCTCTAGTTCGAAGAATATCTTCAAAACTCTCGCTCAACAAATCACACTCAAATTGGATGAGAACAATTTCCATTCATGGAAGCAACGTATCCAAGGTATCATCCGCATGCATAAGCTTCATTACTACCGTGTGAATTCTATGATTCCTCCACGCTATCTCTCTAAAGCAGATTGAAGAAATGATGTTGAGAATCATGCGTACTTGGCATGGGAACAACAAGATTCACTCCTACTCACTTGGCCCCTCACCACTCTATTTGATTCTGTTCTTCCTTGAGTAGTTAGGTGAGTTCAATCGCATCAAATCTGGGATGAAATTTACAAGTATATTTCTGCCACATGAACCGGAAGTCGCGTCAGTTTATATCTGAACTCAAATTGATCTCCAAAGGTGAGAATTTTTTTGCTGATTATCTTGCTTGCTTACAGAAACTTGTTGATATTGGTGGAGAACCAAAATCCCGCCATACCGGCCACTTTGCGGCGCCGTTTTAGAGGATTATTGCAAAAAAAACCGCAATATCAGCCGATATTTACCAATTCGGCGAGCCCAAAAACCGCCATGCATATCTCCCATAGGGGCCATGGCGCCACTATTTGATAACACTGCCCCTACGACACGTGTCAGACAATCTAGACAAGTGTTTCAAAAAAACAGTTGTTTATTTCTTTGCATCAGTCAACACACTTTGTCATTTTTTGGACAAATCTCACACACATTTAAAAGAGTTAAACATGTTTTGGAGCAATGTTGTTCAATGAAGGATTAAAGAAATTTTTTATTATAATATTTTTAACTCTTTTAATAGTAGATGGATAAATGAAGGGAAAATACTATGTTATATGTAGCGATGCCGGTGTCCTATGTTATTTACACTATTGGTATCGGAGTGTCTTAGTCGTGTCCCGGTGTCTATGTCGAAGTCCGTACTTCATAGCAAACCACACACTAGCCATATACTCAATAATCTACTCTCTTGACATCACAAAGAACCTCGTATCAGTTAGTCAATTTGCAAAGGACAGTGGTGTATTCTTTGAATTTGAATTTCATGCCGACAAATGTTTGGTCAAATCACAGGCCAACTCTGAGACTCTTTTACAAGACTTCTTAAGCAAAGATGGACTTTACTCCTTTGGCTCCATTCGCTCTACTGCTGCCATAAGTCTGTCTTCGATTGATGTTAACTCATCATTTGTCACAGTCTTAGATCATTTCAGTTTAATGCAAATAATACTACAACAGCTCTAGGTCTTTCTCTATATAAAATGTGGCATTATAGATTAGGGCAACCTCACCATGAGGCTTTGAAAGCTGCTTTGTCTTTTTGCATTGTTCCTTTAACACATAAATAAAAATTCAATTTTTGCAGTCCTTGCTGCTTGGATACACAGGCTCCTTAACTGTGCATCTGAATCACACTAGACTGCACATTTTGATGGATTGTTTGCTGATATATGGGGCCGTGTTCCAATGATTTCTTGTTGTGGTTACAAATACATACTTGTGTTGATGCTTCTACAAAGTACATTTGGGCGTTCCCTATTAAGTTGAAATTTGATGTGTGTGTCATCTTCACACACTTGCTCACTGCTATTGAAGTCCAATTCGGAATTAAGGTCAGGGTTGTTCAAACTAATGGAGGAGGTGAGTTCAAAGTACTAGTCTCTCAGTTCAATACAAAAGGCATAGCTCACAGGCTGGTTTTCTCTCACATACATCACCAAAAAGGCTCAGACGAGTGCAAGCACATGCATGTTGTTGAAACCGGCCTCACACTACTAGCACAAGCAAATCTGCTGCTCATGTTCTAGGTTAGGATAGTCTGATTACCAATCTAGGTTATAATATACCTAATAAAATAAACGATACCATCAAATATACCATGACTTTAAAACCCTAGCCTACCTATCAAGTAGAATATACAGTTTTTAAGGAAACATGCTTTCTTACATTGCATGACATGACTTTCTCCATAGTCAAAATAGACACAATCACCCAACTATTTTCACATTTCAAATCCAACCATTAACATTTACTTAGTCACTCCTTCCCATAACTCCAAAAAAAGGTAAGACAGCTCTGGTGCAATCCACAAAGGCCACCCCAATTTTACCAATCAATTACCAATACAAACTCTTAACAGAAGCTGGAAATTATCACAAAAGTTCCAATACTGTTTCTCAAAATTCTAAAGTAAAATCTTAATCTTAATCTCACTCTCACAAACACAAAGTTCAAAGTAAACATAACACCAACCCTAGAAAAGAACACAAGTAATTGAGCACAAGTAAAGAACCTAAAAAAAAAGCTAATCATAGTGACTAACTATATAGATTTTTTCTTCCCATGTTCGTCAAATTCATAAAAGCCAAAAAAACAACCTGATGATATCCCGGCATCAAGCTGCAAACAACCTGAAACACTGAAGGGCATCCTTCCATGGGAGACATAGGTATATGTTCTGCCCACCTATCCACACAGAAAAAAATTAACATTAGTAAATCAAATCTAATCATAGTTGAGAACAGCAACAACCTCGGTAGCAATAACGAAACAAATACCTGGTGAAAGAACCACTGAGAAACACTCTTCTTCCTCCATAAGGCCACACAAAGCGCTTCGGAATCAAAATAGGTCCTGAAACTCCACCACTCCCCTCATATCCCCTATCTGTTACCGAAGCATACATTTTCCCCTCACACAAAAAATTCAACAACAACAACAAGTTATTACCACAAAGCCTCTGCCACCGGAATCTTCAACGGCGGAACAGAGGAGAGAACACAATCCCCTCCTCCTCAATGCACAAACATATACAGTACACCTTCACAATCAACACCACGCCACAGTCTGATCGGTGATTCAGCACCTAAAATCAACGAATCAGAGTAACTGAACAAAAAATAAACAAAATAAGAATGGTTTAGAGAAGAGAGTACGGTGAATTAGGGTGCAATCGATCACGGAAAAAATGGAATTGATTTAGGTCAAATGAAGAGAAAAGGGGGAAAAGTAAGAAAAAGATGATACAGTGAGAAATTTGAAGGGAAAAACAAAAAGAAGCATTAATTGAAAAATGGGAGGTAAAAGAGCACTGAATCTGATACAAAACCAACGGAGAAGAGAATAAAAAGACAAGAGAAAAAGAAAAGAAAAATACAGTGGCTAGGGGTAGGGTTGTAATGGTAATTATGCCCTGCTCAGATTTGGAGAAAACATCTTTTTTAAACATATTACAAAACAGAATAAATAAATGACTTACTGAGTTTAAAGATAAAATTCCATTGCCAATCCATCCCAATCATTCATAATTATTATTTTATATATAATTAAAATAAAAACAAATCTAATTTAAGATTTACAATTACAATTCACTATCAGAATAAAAATATTTTATATTGTCATTGTGTTCTCATTAAATTTATATTTTTAATATTATTTCAGTATTTTAAAAATAAAAATATAATTTTTTTATAATATATAATATTTTTATGAGATTAATTGATATGTATGTAAAAAAAATTTACACATCAATACATCACAATCGATAATATATAATATTTTGAATGTGATTATGATAAAAGTCAAATAATTTTAAAAATTTAATAGTTATGATTAATTGACCGTATCGTCATCGTTCGTATATATCAATTAAATTTATTTTTATTGGTTGCATTTTCTTTTTTCTTTAAATAAATTAGAGTTATTATTCATATAAAAAAATTAAGGTTAAATAAATACTAAGGAAAATAGAATTAAATATATTTTAGTTCTACAAAGTCAAAAATAATGATTATAATATATTTTTAGTTCTAAAAAGTCAAAAATAATGATTATAATATAGTTTTTTTTCTTATGAAAACTACTATATAGTATGTTATTATTTTTAAAGAAAATAAAATTAAAAGTTTATGATTTTTTTAATGGTTATAAATATATTTACATTTTTTTAATGTCAAAAAATCAAAATCAAAAAAGCTTTTTTTAAAACATTATATAAAAATATAGTTAACTTAATCACGAAGACTTAATTGATTGCAAAAATGATTTTGTAAAAACTAAAAAATAATATTTTTTATAAAAATGAAAATAATATATAATTTATGTAAAAACACAAAATATATTTATAGAAATAAAATATCTTTTGGCAATCATTTATTATTTGATTCACGTGTTTTTTCAAATCTATATGGTCACTAATTAAGAGATGATTTCTTTAGTCTTTTTTTACTACACTTTTTATTTTCTATTTTTATTTTTATTTTTGCAGAAAAACAAAATATTATTACATTCTTTTGATCCTCCTGTTTACATTTTTTTGAATTTTTTAGCTCTCGTTTTTAAAATTCAATATTTTAGTCTCCAAACATACTATTTTTTTGGCATTTATTTAGTCCCCTCTAGAAATGCATATGTAGCACATATGAATATTGAGTTGTTCAAATGACCTTGGTGTCATGTATTTTAAGCTTATTATTTAATTATTTTTAATTAAAAATTAATTTCTTAAAATCTTTAACTATTATTAATTGAAATTATTGTATTTATAAAACGCAAAGGTCATTTTCTCTAACCTTAATCCTTTCATGTCTTAGTCCTCTCTTGCGCAACGATCTTCTAAACCCAGATTTGCAAAGATCTTCATCTTCCATTGTTCGTCCAAGCAGCAACGAAGATGAGCAACATTCCACTGTCTTCGACAGGAAAAGAAGATGTTCATTTCTGTATGAGGTATGCTCTTTAAACTCATTATTTTTCCTCATCGTGTTTTCACCATGTTTTATACAGTATTCTAATGGAAAGTTTGTTATTTATTCAGACCATCTCAAAATCATTGCATTAAGATAAGATTTCATCATAGGGAAAAGTTAGTAGAGAGTCATGTTAAATGGTATGTTTATGGATTAGTGTCTGAATTAGATTGGAAGTGGGATACAGACTACATGTCGTATATGGATTTAGAAAATCTGATAAAGGAGGAGGGATATAGGAATATCAAGTGTATGTGATATTGGAAGTCCAAGTATAGCTTTAGTCGTGGCCTTAGACCCCTAAACTATGATAGTGATGTTCTTAAGTTTGCTGAGGATATTAAGGGTTTTGAATTGGTGGGTGTGTATGTTGAGCACTCAATAGAAGTGACTCTTGTTGAGGATGATGTTGATGGTTATCCAAACTATGTTGATGATGAAGCTGACTTTGATGTTGAAATTATAAGTAATCATGATGAGGCTGAATTTGAAGTTAGAAGTGAACCTATTGAGGCTGAAGTTAAAGTTGGAAGTAAGCCTGTTGAGGTTGAAGTTAAAGTTGGAAGTGAACCTGTTGGAATGGATGACAGTGATGATGGTGTTGATGATGACTATACTGTAAGTGAGGGTGAGATAAGTAGTTCTAGTCATGAGTTGAATGAGCATGATGCTAAAAGTGAGAATGTTGAAGAGCATATGGATTTGGATTAGACAATTGTCATTCATTGTGATGAGGCTAGTGATAAGGCTATAAATTATGAGGATGATGATGATTATGATGTGTTGCATACACTTAATGAGAGTGGCACTGATGAGGAGCAAGAGAAATTTCATTCTTTTAAAAGTGACTCTTCAAAGTTTGAGCTAGGTATGAAGTTTAGTAACAAAGAAAAGGTTCATGAGGTTGTGGCAGACTATGCTTTGAAGATGAACAAAAATGTTTACATTAAGAAAAATGGTGCAAAGAGGATGGTGATGAAATGTATGGAAGGCAACGTTTTTCACATGAGGGTTAGTAAAAGGGTTGGGAATTAATTTTGGCAAGTAGTTAGTTTAGTTGATGAACACAACTATTCTAGAACTCCAAATAACAAACAAGCAAAAACTACATATATGGCTAAGCAGTTTGGTCACATTCTAAGACACAACCATGATATGAAGCCAACGGGATTAATTACTCAAGCTATTGATAGATGGGGGGTGAAGTTGTCACTTGATCAGGCATATAGAGATAAAAGAAAGGCTATGGATTTGTTATAAGGTGTTGTTATGGATCACTTCAACCATTTGAGAAGCTATGCCCAAGAGTTACTGAAATCTAACCCTAATAGCAGTGTTGTGATCAGATGTTCTCCTTCAAATGAAGGCCCTGTGTTTGAAAGGATTTATGTATGTCTAGAGGCTTGTAAATATGGTTTTGTAAATTATTGTAGGCCATTGATTAGGTTGGATGCCTGCTTCTTGAAGGGTGATTTTGGAGGGAAATTGATGGTTGTTGTTGGGAGAGATGGAAACAATAAGATTTTTCCTATTGCTTATGCCGTTGTGGAAGCTGAGACAAAAGATTCTTGGGATTGGTTCATCAAACTTCTATTGGAATACTTGGAAGTTATAAACAAAAGAGCTTATGTTTTTATTTCTGACCAACAAAAGGTAATGCTCTAGTTATTATTTTCTGACTTGCAATTAATCATTGGTCTTGTTTGTAACATTGTAATTGTCTTGTTTATATGTTAACAATTGGTACCGGCAATTCAAAGTGTGAGTGCTCATGTTGAGCAACGCCTTTATGCAAAGCACCTATATGGGAATTGGAAGAAGAAAAATCATGGACTTGAATTCAAAGAGGTTATGGAGTGCAACAAGAGCAATTATTGTACCAGAATGGGAAAGGGCGATGACAAAGATGAAGAGTATGAAACCATCTGCATGGAAGGAAATGGTGGATATCCCTGCACATTATTAGAGTCGATCTCACTTCAAAACATATTCCAAATGTGATCTTCATGTAAACAACATGTGTGAGGCTTTTAATATGACTATTTTAGAATATAGGGATAAATCAATCATCACTTTGTTGGAAGGGATTAAGTACTACCTTACTAAGAGGATAACTAAGCAAAAGGAAGTCATGAGTTACTACAGTGGTGCTTGAAAATAACGAGAAGAATGAAGATCATTTGACTCATACATGACATGGTGATGATGACATGGCAATATATGGTGTGACTAATGGAAGATACACATATGTTGTTAATCTAAAGCAACATACTTGTGCATGTAGGAAATGGGATTTAACTAGCATCCCTTGCAATCATTATATCACATGCATGTGACAAATCAAGAGAAAACCTGAAGAATATGTTTCTCAATATTACAGGTATTAGTTAAAAACTGACTGGTTTATGTTAATGGCAATCTGACTGGTTTATGTTTAATTGCAATCTGACTTGAAATCCGACTTGCAGGAAGAGTAATTTCAAGAACATTTACTCACATATTATTTATCCTACTAATGGTCCACAAATGTGGCCTTTGGATGAGAAGTTCATTATGAATCCACCAGTTATGAAAAGGACTATAGGTCGTCCAAAAAAATGAGAAGCAAGACTAACAATGAACCAAAAAATCCACATCTCCTTCCTAGAAGATTGGCAATTGTCACTTGTCATAAGTGTGGAGCAATGGGTCACAACAAAAGAAGTTGTAAGGGAAAGAGGGTTGCTGAAAGAGTCATTCCAAAAGGTGACAATAACAAGAAGTCTAAAAAGGGTGGCCGAGGGAAGAAGAAAAATACAACTCAAGTTGAGATTGAAATCTCATCACAAGCCCCTCCACTTACACAATCATCTCAGCAGTAGTGTTATATAAATATTTGTTGTTAGTTTGAGTACCTTTTGTAATATAATTCTCGAGTACTATGAGCAATGATCAAGTATTTGTTGCTAGTTTGAGTACCTTTTGTAATGTAATGTTGTAGTGCTATGAACAATGACCAAGTATCTTTTGTTAGTTTGGGTACCTTTTGGTTAATCAGTAATGAACAAGTACTATGGTTAAGTTGTAACGTTATTATGGTATTATATTTAATGAATGAGTTTTATGGTTAATTTGTGTTGTTATTTTGGTACCTTTTATTATCAGTCATGAAAGCATTACTGAATTGGTTGTAGGATATAATAAACTGTTATATGCTATCTGTAACTTCAAATAAACTTGATTTGTTATTTGTAGGATATAACAAACCATTAAAAATGACTTGTAATTAACATATAAATCTTGATACATTTGGAACAACATTAATATAACTGATACAATTGGAACAAAATGATACAACATTCATATAAATCTTGATATAACAAACTGAAATTACATTTGGAACAACATTGATGTTACATTAACTGATACATTTAGAACAAACTGAGTCAAAATATTGAACAACATTTGACATCCTAATTCATTACAAATCCTATAACTAATC